AAGATTTCCCTAAACATGAGGGAAAACAAGATGCTAGGGCAGAATATGTATTGGCGACGTACAAAATTGGTGGAAAGCTACCAACATGGCTTAAAGGCCATGCCACTGGGATGAAGAAAAATGACCATGCTCTTCAGTTCCCCGTGTAACCAGAACCCGTGAGCTAAACAAATGCTTAAAGCATTACAGATTGTAGAGATAATACTGTGCTGGATCCTCTTTGAAGAAGTCATACGACACGAGTTTATGGTAAGGGGGAAACTACTATGAACTGTCAGTGGATGAGCCCAGACCCGTTGCTTCTTCAGACAGAAGAGTGAACGCGACAGCACCTTAGAATGCCACAGTTAGAAGTACGCCGGAAGTGCGATGCATACGTGGCCCGAACGTGCTGGAGTACAAGGGGTACTAAATGTTGCGTACTTATGTCACTTTAAATGATCTTGGAACATGAGGGTGTGGTTGCATTACACAAGTAATATTTGCTAGTTAGGGGAAAAAAATCAACCCTAATACGAAATAAAATGTGTGCCTAGGATGTTCAGATGCAAGGCGTAAGGTGGGGTTGACCAGAAATATGTACAAATCCAAGAGGGGTGGTGAGCCATTATGAAAAATTATTTAAGCGAAACGTGGAGACTAAAGGACCCTCTTACACAAGACTTAAATAAATTTATTTCCACTACAGCATCGACAGATGATTGGCAAAAATCCATTTTGCTAACTGTGAATGATCAATGACAAAAACCATATTTCTTGAGTGATTTCCAAACAAATTAGGTTCTGTTAAAAGCAAACTTCACATTTGTCAACAGAAATGTGGTGTAAACAAGCCTTTCAAAATAGTATGCATAACGAACCAGGCGTCTTCTTTTTGGAGTTCCATTTGGGGCAAGCTCAGAAGAAAAATAAGGACCTGGATTACTTTTACAATCTCAAATATTACCACGAGACCAAATTTAAGGCTCTGCAAATCACTGCTAAGAGGTCTGTGGCATAGTCAGCACGAAACATCGTTGGCGAAACTCCGAAGTGGCCGTTTATCTCTGTAGGCTGATCATCGGGGCAACCAGTTGAGATTCCTAAAGGTGAGTCTTTTTGTTATGTAGAAGCGCTTGTATTTAGCCAATACACAATGAATAGTTGAAGCATCTTGAGAGTAGTAGAAGGATGGTTACATACTTTTGAGGGCTTTTCACTCTCCAAAGCACAGACTCATCTACGCTGGTAGCTTCGTAGATCATCTACATCGGTGCCCCCTCATTAGGTCCCTAGAGGTGACCCGGGACGCTACCAGTCTATTTTCAGTATCTTGAAAAAAACTTAGTGTTTAAGACTATTATGAAAAATGGTTGCCTTAAAATAATCAGTGAAATTCCATCATCCTGACGTCAAAAGGAAAGATTTTGATCAAACGGGCGATAAATTTTCATTCAGATTTTTTACCTCAATTGTAAAACGCAGTAAATATGGCAGTGTATTCTCCCCAAGTGGTTTGGAAATATGATGAAAGGGTTTTTTCAGTCTCTGTGGGAATCAAACCTTTTATGGGAATGGGACTAGACCAAGTAATACCAAAATATCTAGTTTTTCCCCATATTCTCGAGGCGCCATTAACTGACTGCCGCAAATAGGTGGGAGGTGCTGCCAAACAGCCCAACTTTTCCATTCCAGCTACTGGATCTGTTGTATAAGAAGAGATCAAGCAAACTGAAAATTGTTGTCAAATTCTGGGTCGAAAATTGTTCAAGTGAACTACTCGGTGTTTCAGAAAGACTAATCGACTTCTACGCAGTGAGCCCCTTGAATCATCCCATCTGCAATGTTATTCAGAGGGTTGGTACCGAGTGCCCCCATAATGCCATGAACTCATACACACATGGTCCTAGGATCATTAAGGTCATCGTGACTAAAGGGTACTCGAAAAAGCAGGTATGCCGTGTTTGGACAAGAATACGCATGTAATACGTTAATTGTTTGTTTAATCTTGGCCATGGCATCAGTCCCAAGCACCATTGCACGTCGTCAATACATATTCTGCCTGAGTGGTATAGTTTCTTTCATCTTCAGGGTAATATCGAGGCCCTAACTTGGTGGCAGTAGCTGGCAGACTCTATCGTAAGGAACAAATATCCTTATTTCTACTTCTGGGTGATGAACCTTGGCCTGACGGAAGAAGTGCATATGCTGTGGATGGGAGAATCGGTGGAAATTCTTAATGGAAGAGTTGAAAATGATGTTTACCATCTGCAGCTACCCCGGTCCCGCGTCCTACAGGGATGCTATTAATAAATGAAGTGCTACTATCCGTGGCCGTGAACCATGTGGAAAAGTTCCTTGCAGACCTGTCTATAGTGTCTCCACTTCCCACTGGCAAAAATGGAGCCTAGATAGATTTGGCTGGATAACGTTGAAGTAGGAATAAAGTGGAAAGGGGAAGTAAAATCGAGGCCTTATTCTCGAAGAAGTACGTTAAATGCCTTCCTTGTTATATGCCTACATTTAAGCCACTGTTTCTACGACTATGGACATATGTGTTGGTCAACACATTCCCTCATCCCTATAATACAGTTCCCATACAGGTCAGTACTCTGGATTTAATGGAATTGGCAAAATGAATCATTGGCTTTGCAACTAAATATTTTTGCATTTGCAAACGAATTCAGTGTCTGGCGTGGTTGGTCCGTGGGTGAATTTCATGCAGCGCAGACACGGGAGGTCGACCAAGGGGAGTGCCGGCAGACAACGTTCAGAAGAGGAGCAACACTATATAAGAAGTTACTCGTGCCTTAATTCGCGGATTTGATAAGGGGTCAATTAGGGGCTCCGATATTGTACCCTGGACGGCCGGTTTGGGGTCAGGACCGTGTTTGTTACCCTCTGATTCTGCCATACGTTGACAATACATATTCTACCCGACTATTCTGTTCTCTTTTGTCTTTAATGAAGTCTTGGAGGCGATGCAACAAGGACTGGGTCTCATGGTATCCCAACAGCTACTTTAAATATCCCAATTTGCACTACTTTATGATTATATGTCTAGGCGGTTAAGGCTCATTGCGACTATGTATTCCAAAATAGCTTCAAAATGTAAATTTAAAATAGAAGGATAAAAGAATATAGGAAAATGAAATGAAATAAAGACGTAGGTCTACGCCCAGTCATGTGAACGCTGAAGGAGTCGAAACATCATGACAGTTGAAGGAATTTTTGACAGTTTTTTATCCTTACGAAAGTGATTACTTCTTTGTCGTCATTTTAACTCACAAAAAAGTGCTGAAATATTTTAAAGTTTATTTAAATAGGGTATTTTATGATAGCTCTTGATTCCAGAACTTGTATCTTTAGGGTGTTTAAAAGGATGAAAAGGTGTGGTAAAAGTGATCCAAGTGTAGTGATTTCTTGGGGTCTTTATTTTTTAGAGCTGGGCCAAGAAAAAGTATAAGGGAATGAGAAGTTTAAAAGTTAAAAATGATTCCATTTTAATGTTTTGAAAATTTTCAAGCTGAGACCTTGTGCATCGGTTCGTTAATCCTGAATCCTCTTCCCTCCGATGATAGGAATCGGCCGGTTTTTCCAGTCTGGAGCATTAGCGACCACTGCCATGAAGAATGGCTCTAGTAAACCAACTTTATAAAAGGCTCTCTTTTCTTCTCGACCGTATTTGTACTACCGGTATTAATTCAGAAAAACGGCGGCCCGACTGTTGAGACTTTGCATGAGTTGTGTAACATCCGCGACCCTTGAAAAGGCAATTACTGTGAATTGCCTCTTGCCTGCAATACTGCCTACCACAACTTTGTTCAATCCCAGAAATGCTTCAAATACGCAATGCTAACTTTCCCATTGAACCGGATGTTTGTAATTTTCTCCGAAGGGCTGATTTATGGCAACTTCAAGACCAACACTACAATTCACATTTCTTGCCTCTCAAACGAGACTTTAACAGTTGCGTTCCCTCCAGCCTTTTGATTTTCCTTATGTAGAGTTAAAAAAGTACTCCAAGACCCGCTTAAATCCGCAGCATTGATAGCATCTAGGAGGAATTTCACACTCTCATACTTGTGAGGTGAATTTCTCCGGTTGATAAATAGTATACTTTAAAAGTATGTCCACTTGGAACCCACTCTTAGGACAAACCATTCAAGAATCCAAATTAAAAGTGGTAAAAATAGCTATTTGTTTATCAGGGTGCCATAATGTTTTACGACTTGACGAGAATACAGATGGAGCCAAAAAGCATGCAAACGTGAAATGGTACCTTTACTATAAAATAGAAGGACTACATAGTGATGTGCCCTTGTAACTCGCCGAAAAAAACCCCCTTAGTGGGCGAGTATTTTGACAGCTCTAGTCATCGAATCTATAGACTGAAGCTAATGCCGTCTGTTACACAAAGAACTGGCCACTTGGATCCGTTTCCAACATTTCTGTGTTGCAATAGTCACGACAGGCATCCCCTTGTTATTTCTGGATAAATAAAGCCCATGCACCCCCTATTTCCTTCCATAGAAATGATTTAAAGCCCTTTTGAAAGTCCTTTAGATAGCAGAATGTAACTTCCAGGGACATCGCATCCTATTATTTCCCATCACAACTCACGAACTACCGCCCCTTCGAATAAACATATCAGTCGCTTATGGTGTTCAGAAGCTTTAGGATTAGTAAAAATATCGTCCCGAAAAATCACCACGGCTTACGGGACTTAACAAGTCAGAGAGTGGAGAGTTATTTAATTCTAAGGTCTTTCCAACACTTTTGACGACCATTAGGTACAAAAAAGTCGGAAATGGGGGGCGTGGTATACATATATACTTTTCGTTACAAAAAAGGAACATTGTTAAGGGCCGGTTTGATTTACAGACCAGCAAAGTTGATCACAACGAGACCAAGTTATAAAAATAGAAGGAAGAAGGTAAAGTTAAAGGTGTACAACCAAGGATAGATGATTATGGATGTGCTTATTTGACTAATGGAGGGAAAGAGGCAAGGGAATCCTTTCAAACAATAGTGGCTGTAAAGAGAGCGGCTCCAACACAGGCCTCAACGACGTTGTCCTCGGACACGCAGGTCACATTGGCAAGAGAATACTCAGATTTGAGTTGATGCAAGAGCAGTGGATTTCGTTTCAAGGCACCACCCATGCAGTAGAGCTGCTTAACGTTTGCCCAGACTAGCAACTAAAAGAAAAGACACAAACATTACCGGAAGTAATGGTTGTTTAAATGTTTGGAGAGAAATTTGGGTTGCTGTCACTGTGGCAGGCAGATGTATGGGTGTGGTCACATGAATGGAGGCAATAACTTTTCAGTCTTCCGGAATTCAGCCTCTCAATACCAGCAAGTCACCCTTTCTGTGTGATTGTAAAGAAGCTACTTCCGGATTCGTCTGCCTTATAACGCCCTTAAGGGTAATTCTTGTGTGTTTCACTGGTTAATCTAACATTCAAGCAAATATTCCGACAAGCAGTGATTTGTATATTAAAACCTCTGCCACAATTAGGTGAAGAATAGCATTTGTTTGATTTCTATAGTCGAGCGGTCCCCCGTGATTCGGTATCCACGACGGTGGTACACAGCCTCGCCCACACAACAACTGCATGCACGTTAATACCATTGGGGGATAACTCGAACAGTTTGCAGTTTTATAATTCGCGCCATTTAGGTCAACAATCCCCAGATTTACTCGTGCTTCATCCAGCTTATTCACAAACTTCCTCCATGTTTAATTAAAAGTTAGTGCAAGCATAAAGGTCGACTGATAGAATCTTTTCTAGCAGAAAATCATGCCTGTACTTTTACAGCTCTTCGCAGCACAAATGCCAAATCGCGAAGTACTAGGGGACATGATTAATGAAGAACTTTGCAGATGGTTAGCATAGTGGTGGGTGAGTGTAATTTTTACGGCTTACGTTCAGTTGAGGGAAGGCATATCCAACTGGTTTAGCCACTAACTGAGTAACGAAAAATCCCCCGGCCTCCGTGGATAAATGGAAATCAAGAAAAGCTACAAAAACAGCATCAAGCACTACCACAAATGATGATACTACTCAATAAAGTCCTGAAAAGCTTTTTTTACCTCGGGAGGAGCCATGCTGACGAGATTGCGTACAACACCACGACAGACGGCAGCATAGATGGCGGGCAGACTGAAAACATCGTCAGGGTGTATGTTGGTCACGCTGGCGCCTGGCTCCACCGGCTCGTAGTCCTTCACCCCAACAGCCTCACAGTAGCGCTCCCCAAATAGACGTGGATCCACATTAATCTCCGACGCTGACATCATGGCCGCTATGGGTGAATCTTTGTGTTCTATTTGGCCACTTGCTGCGTGAGAGAGTTTTTCGTATATCTGTGAATATTGTAACAAATTTAGCGTTTGTCTAACCAAATTCTAATTAATCAAGAGATTTCTAGAGGAGGTCACAGACCCAATTGAAATTATTTATATGCAAAACAGAGACATTCAGGTAAAACTCACGTTTACACTGCCTTTATTTCCTAGTGGTACAAATGTTATTATTATTATTAAGTACAACTTCAAATAATTTGTTTATCTTTTCCGAAACAATTCTGGTGATGTATGTGTAGATGGATTTAAACAGCGTCCCAAAGTCAAGATTTACAGTTTGCGTGTCCACATTTGTGATAATTACCGACCAAACAACGAGCACGAAATTTAAAAAGAAAAAAAAGTAGAATTTATGTTACAATGTGATTCTTAACAAAAATGCCTTCATTATGTGGGAGTGAAGGAAGGCGTTTTGAATGGTGAAAAGGCCAGTGGATCTTGATTGAAGGGCATATTTTTCCCAAACTGCCCATACGCAAGATTTTTCTGAGTAAATAAAGTTATCACCTTCAATTAAGGCAGGCGAGAGGCCGTGAAAGACTTATATGTAGTGGGAAATAAGTCGCCCATCAGTTACTTCACCTGACATTTTACCAAGCACAGTATTTTTCTATGCGAACAAAAAGGTGACCACCGAAGTGGCGGCTTTCAAATTGGCATACAAAATGCTGCCAAGGAAGTTAAACGACTTCAAACCTCATCACAACTATAGGTGATAGTGCTCAAAGTCCGACAACTGTGTTGGCTGAGATAATAAAGGTGGGTGAAGAGCATTGCAGAAAAGCTTGTTAGTTTGCCTGTAGGAACTACTAAATCCACATACTCCATGAACATGGGAAAACTTAATTTGTATATTTATCTACTCGGACGCTTCGGTCTTGACACAATCTCGGCGTCGTAGCATTGCGTTCGCGCCATTCCTGGCATAATTTCTCCAGGCCTTTCTGGCTCACACACATTTAAAAGTGCCTTCGGAGAGAACCCAAGAAAAGCATGATGCTTAAGGTCCAACTGCATAATAAATTATTTTGAGATACAGAGCTTGAAAAAGAAACAGAATAATTGACGATACAGATTGCTTTACTATCAAACTTGACTAGTCTAATCTAGGGAATGCAATCCAACCACCACCTCAAGAAAACATCAGCACCGCATATCGAAATCAGTGGAACTCCTCGCAAAAAACATTCTATTCTACGAATACATGACATTCCACAATGTCTTGTGAAAGCCTTCTCGATGTATAATGGAAGCATAAAACATCTTAGGTTGGCTTAAAAACCCTAGCCCATATTATACTTAAAGCAGAAGCACCAATAACTAATTCTTAGCTGACAAGGAAACTAGTGGAGAAAAAGGTATTTTTTGTGGTGAAGATGGAAACGGGATTCACTAAGTAGAACAACTTACTCCTTTTAATAAAAGCATAATAACTAATTATTACCGGTGTGGTGAATAGGTTATTAGGCTCCATGTCTCCTCAATGAATTACTTAATTAAAGGTAGTCAGGCTCAGCAACAGTAATTAGTAGGGAGGTAGACATTTAATTTCATTTTTCATCGGACACTTTAATCTCAATCCACCTCAGTCGAAGCCGAAGTAATTTGAGCATGGCGGGGTAATCCTAGTGTTGACCCTCCGTCATATTGATGCTCGAACTGACATGAGGCATACAGATATCTTCTTTACTCTCCATGATAAACTCACACTGACAGATCCTATACCTTTCTGAGTGGGCTCTGCGGTCCTGAGGGTGATTGATACCAACCATTTGCATAACATATCAAAAGACACGCGATTGTGGTAGTGCGCCTCCAATCCGGAATTGGAGGAGACGTAAGTATTCCGCTCGTGACATTACCATCAAGGGGAAAAAATGGCATTGTACTTTAACGACTGCACTAGCCTTGGATCTTTGGATTCCTGCAGAGGTTATGCAGGAACCACGTGATTACGGGCGAGTGTACTGCACAACAATATAACCTCTTTGGTGTTAAAAGTATCAGGCGGACAAAAAGTTCATGTGGTCCTTCACCATCGTATGCTATAACCTCCAGGACCTTGTAGCATGCATACCATTACTTATATGCCTGCCGGTATAGTAATCTTTATAGGGCTCTATCCTAGCCTCTCTATCACTTTGAAGTAGCTTAAACGGAATCTCTGCTAAACCCGTAAAGATTATTCAAGTTTGTTTGCTTTGCGAGCCGGGTTTAATTCACTTCCATAGCTGTGGTTGGAGGTGATTATGGTCATAATTGAAAAGAAAAGAATTTGCAGAGGTTTTGGTACCCCGCGGCAGAATTTACCTTACAGCAATGCTTTTAGAGATGGGATGGTAGTAATGAGCCAATCAGCGATGCGATATGTCCATAAAATGGCAAATCATGTGTTCCAATTGGTCGGAAAAATTGTGCAATATCAGCAAAATATGGAATTGCAGCTGTGTTTTACGTGGGTGGAGTCAAACAGTTCGTTTACACCTCCACTAAATGGCTGTCACAGACGTTAACAACCAATGATTTCAAGTATCATGAAGTATCAACTTGTTCTTTGTTTCCTTCAAGTTATGAAAAGCCACCAATTCCAAACTACTTGCTGACTAAATAGCTGACTGTCCGACTGACCGACCGGCTGATAAGTTAACTTGTGAAGAGGAAAGCCTTCTGTATTTCAACGTTAAGGAACTGAATACATTATTGGGTATTCTCAAACAGCACCATATTTTCAAGGTACCATTCACCTCTTATCTTTGTGTATGTGGGGTGCGTTGAAGATGCTATTGTTTCCTAGGTATTGCTCAATTGTTGTGAAAGAAACAAGTGCAACTGAGATCCGCTTGATACGATCTAAGTGGAAACAATTTGATGCACATTATGTGCAAGGGAACTATGTCATCATGATTACCTTCTTTTTCTCCTTCATCAGAAACAGTGAACCACAGTAAATCAGTCAATGGTAAGAAAGTTCTGTCCTCATGACATCAAGGCAACACAGGAAATCATGCCTCATATCGGCGTTAGACTTGCTGGCGAAAAGACCTGCATGTAAAGATGTGAGGAAGGAGAGATAGGAGAAAGATTGGAGGGAGTGAGGACGATGTCGCCTCACCCTCAGCTTCATTCAGTAATCATTGTCTTTTCAAAACACCATTAAACAATCAGATGGTGGATAGGATAAGCAAATGGAAAATAAAAGTGGGATAGAAAGGGAGGTAGGCAGAGGTAGGTAGTCTTTTGGCTTCCAGAGACAATGCGTGGCACAAAACATGAAAATAGGATTTGGGTCTCATTGAAAATAAACCATTCATTGTAATGTTGGGAAGCTTTAAGTGGTGGTTTGAATTGTATATCATGTCTGCCGATGAATCCCGTTATTCTGATATTATACAGGAGGATGGACAAATTTCAAAGCCTATTCCTACACACGCCGGTTCTACTAAGTTAATTTTTTCAGAAATTTCGATAGGCCATATTAAATGTGCAATTTGGCAGCCATTTAAATATAAAAAGCACTGTAAAATGTTGTTAAACTTCAAAAATGCTTCTATAAGATATTCTGGTTAAAAGAGGGCTAAATTTTTAATGGAAGTACGTAATGAAGCAAAATGATGAATCTGATAGCCAATTTTCTTCACAACTTACACCGATTTTGGCATCCCAATTTCAGTTTCTATTTGAAAGGGCAACCTAACCCGATCTGATCCCACGACCTTTTGCGCATGTCAGTGACGAAGTAACCCAAAGGATAGGCTAGAATATCATTTTTGTGATCTCTTTGATGTTTTTCGTTTTTTTTTTCACCGAGTTTTAAAACCACCCAAATACCTTAAAGTCTTAACTTATAGTCTTGTAAGAACAGTGAATTAGATTTTACCTCCTGCCTCCTGTTTGACTACCACCCTGATCCATCTCTGTAGGCAAGGACCATTTACCAAAATCAAAGCTCTCTTCCGTTTACTTAAAGAATGAGGTTTTGTTGATGTATTAGACTGATCAGGTGCCACGAATAATGTCGGCTTGAGCATGAATAAATGGGAAACGTTAACCATGTGTCCTACACCAACTTGACATCTGCCTTATCGAGATCTGCTGCAGGAGAAAATGGACCACTACATCTACCCAAATGTTTTAATGCTGATGGCACCTAATGTTTCTGTTTTCACCCCCAATCTACTTCACTTTAATTATATGCGGCGTCAGGTAAAAAACCCGGGGCGTCACGCTGGTAGCAAATGTTTTTTAAACGTTATAGGTGAAATTAGGCAAATTGAATTATGAATATTTTAGAAAGAAATCGCAAAAACAAATGGGATGTACTTGCGAATTCCAAAGTGTGGTTTTGGGAAGTTCGTTTGCCATGGCTGTGATGATTAATAGGGTCTATGGTCTAGCCACGCTCCGGCAGTTACACAACCTATTCAGACAAACGTCATTAAAAGGGCGATGAAATTGCGATATTTTCCAAACGAATGCAGAAAAATTCAGGACAGTCACGTTCAGGGGCAAAATTTCCGCGTTATTTTAATGACGTATGGCCCTGGGTGTGACGTGTGGTCCCGTGAAGGCACACTCAACTTGGGAAAAAGTGACGGTCGTTTTGGGTCATTTCTTCAAGATGTAACAAAATTCTACGCACAGTTCAGCAGTTCTCCATCAGTGCTACATACATGCGACATCCAGACTTTCCTACCTGAATCCAGCTTCAGCCGTTTGTACCAGATCGCATCCCAAATCGGTTGATCGGATTTCTCCTAATAAGACAGGCCCAGGAGGCTCGTTGCCTGACACCTGTCTTCAGTTTCGAAGCAGCAGCTAAGTTAATTTATTGACAGTTTCATATTAGAAGAAAACACCCTAGCTGTGGCCCTGAGACGAAATTGAATAGCAAAAGTGACACCCATCAAGACTTGTTGGTTATGCTGAGTTGTGTCTGAGATTTGGGTCAAAGCCCTTTGCGTGTGACTTGTGCTGATAATAGAAAATGACATCTGCTGGAGGTCAAACAATTCTTTCTTAAATAAATGTATTGCATTTGATTCTTTGCAGTCCAAGGGAACCTCCTTCACCTCGTTAAGCCAGTCTTCGTGATTATTCAGTCCGAAAACGCCTCTAATTTCTACCTCTACGGAGTGCCACATGTCGCCCAGTCTTTACAAGCGGTTAATGCCCGGTGCAAATAAAACTGTAATTTAGCATCTTGATTAGAAATTAACCTCAGGTAAAAGAGTTTTCAATAACAAAACTCAAAGTTTCCTGTGAGATGCTCCAGATCTCCGAATCATGCAATCCATTATGCATGCACTTTAAAATGCATTGCAAACCTATGCAAAAAAGCAAAGTACTTCATTGAACGATTCAGACAACTAGCTATATATGGCACTGGAATATATTAGGCACAAGTGGAGTATCTACTTACAAAAAAGAGATTATTCGAAATTTATACCTAAAGCTGACAGACTGAATTGCAATTCAGACAAAATCTTGGATATTTTAAATGACTCCTGTTGTTTAAATTAATGGAGAAAGTTTACAGGCATTAATTCAAAACCCGCTGCATGATTTTCTCGTTCTTTTTACCAAAATCAGAGAATGTGATTAACAAAAGAGTTTGAAATGCACCTCAGCAAATTAAAGAGTTGCCTAAGAATCGACGAAATTTAGATCTTTTAATAACCTCCCATTTATGTGAATATGGAGTGATAAAATACACCTTCCTTAATTTATGAAGAGTTTGCCAAACCAGGGAATTTAAACGCATCCAAGGCTTACGACCTATAGGGGTGTGATGTATGGGGTGCGTTAACTAACTGGGAGGGGAACATTTACAAGGCGTGACCATTAAATCCACACATTTTATCACCTTGTGCGGCTAAAATAGGTATGTCTCAAATAGGAACACTCATATCGTCTTTAAATTTCGCGCAATCTCCTGTACTAAAATGGGGAAAAATGACGTCCAAACAATAACAAAAAACCATTTTAGATGCCGATTATTTCAGCGGCTTCGAGCCACCAGTATTGATAATCTCGGAGAATCACTGAAGACCATTGTGCATGGACTCAGGCATTCAAAGGTAACTTTCATGACGATGTTAAATGCAAATCCAGTTGCTTCATGATCCAGCAGGGTGTACAGTCTGGGAATAAATGGCAAAAACTTAGAAGACCATGGTGAGAGGGTTACAGACTAACGTCTCCATGACACTAAGGTCTCGTTGATGCCTTTCATAAAAGATAACATGAATGAGTACCACGCAAGAGGCGTATGCAGTGCCCCTGGATGGTACGTCAATGCAAATCACGGGTGCATTCAGTGATCCCTTGTTGTACTTAAGCAGGGGCTTTGTAACAAAACCTAGCGGTTTAGATTGTTTTCGAATTTAAACTACAATTCCTAAAAAACAGCAGTACTTCTAGAAGTGTTTTTGACTATAGTTCAACCTGTGACATTTTGTTCATCATCCAATGTCAGAAAAAGTGGCACCGCGGCATCTTTATGAGCAAATCCTCCGGTTATACACCATAAAGCAGGGTTTTGCCTAAAATCACGTGCAAATTCACCAACCTCGAGTCTGTTGACAGTAGTTTATGCAAATCACCATAAGGAATAGAGTCAACAAATCAACCGCACATATACGAGTAGGGAAGCAGTAAATATCACACGAGCCTATGGGATATCATCCACCTTCCCAGTTTTATCATGTAGAGTTATGAACCTTGCCATCGGCAACAGTAAACAAATTAAGCGGAACCGAATTAGACTAAAATGAAATAAACCAAATTAAATCCAACCAGATCAGTGTCATTCTACGTTCCGATTCAAATGACCTGAACAAGAGTATTTAGCCACCTTTCCAGGGGCTGAGTTAAGCAAAACATTAGTTGAAATAAATACTGGCTGCAAGAATTGACAATCCCTATCACAAGAATTGCTTTGTGGATCCTTTTCTTACCAAGGGCTTTAAAGTTAGAAATATTCCTAAGACTTAATTTGAAATCTGTTTTAAGACTACGTATTTATAATTAAATTGCAGTACCTTTTAAGAAAATCCATTAAATACTCACAGGCCTTTGTTTCTCCAAAAGTTGCATTGTAGCTACTTAAAATAAAGGATTTGGCTTTATATTTTGTGATTTAAGGCAGCTTGTGCAAGAATCCCATTGTAAAACAGACATGATGTAGACAGTAATTGGTAAGGTTTTGGCCAACAGACACAGTGTTAGTCAATATGCCACAGTTTAAAAAGTCTTATTTTAGCCTTAGTGAGGAGGGCGATATAGTCTTAGCCTTGAAATCCATCAAAATAAAGAATACTAGATTAAATTAAAAGGAAAACTTTGGAGGATGCATGAGTGTAGACTGACCTGTGCCGTCTCGATGGCAGGGCAGCCCAACTGTCGACACCAAACACGCAGCATTTTGATGAATCTCTCGATCACATTGCCACCATTTAGACTCGCGGCTACGACAATTCGCTCATTGGGATGGAAGAATGGCCACACGGAAATTCGCTTGGATTTCAACAGACGCTCGAAGACACCCTCACTGTCTCTGTTACACACATCAGTGGAGGAGGAATGCGAGGAGGTTTGGCCGTTAATTTCCAAACCGGCCGGCAACTTGAAGGCTATCTGGGCTGATGTACTGATATTGCAGGCTAAAAATGAGCAAGGAAAGGGAGACCGCAGTCAGCGCGCGGATTCACCACAAAATAAATTAATTGAGATAAAAAGCAGTCGGAAGTTGGAAGTCAACGGTGAAGAGTGAGATGACCCAGCAACACCTTGTGATCTTTTGCAATGCCTGAGTGCAAAAGTGAAAGCAAATTGAGTACCTTCTAAAATCAACAAAGTGTGACTTAAATTTGAACTTATTCAAATCTCGAAAACTAGAACAATGAACTATTTTGCTCTCGCATCTGTGTGCAACGAAATGGCGTGATCAACTGATAGTCTGGATTTGGAGAACATCCAAATTATTTTATTGATGTCAAGAATGTTATAAATTTCTTTTACGGAGTAGAGAACGTCTGGGCTTAAAGCAGCGCATTTTCTTGGCAAGTATTTTTTTCTGTTAGTGAGTGATAGCCAAATTCAATTCAAGTATATTTCACGACACGTATGTTTCATCAACATTACAGTTGTGTTTATCAGTGCTAGAGGTTTTTTTGTGAAAAAGCGCCTCTTGAATGGCAATAATTGGTTGAAAGAGGTTGAAATGTATGCTCATGTTAATTCTAATTTATTTACATGACATAAAAGCTGAGAATAGAGGAAATTTTCTCCTCCGGTTCGAAATATGACTCCAACTGTTGTGAGACATATATTTATAAGGAAAAGGGGATTTTAGTCAGAAACATTATTTCGTAAAAAAAAAACGTGTCTTGAATGGCACAAATCGGTTCAAAGAAGATGAAGTATATGCTCAGCCTAAGTCTAGTCCACTTACATGGGATAAAAGCTGTGAATAGGGGAAACATTTTCTTCTGGTTTGAAGTATGACTTTAAATGCTATGCTATGCTATACACATTTGGATGGAAAGGCGCCGGATTTTTCGAGAAAAGTTCAGGAAAGGTGTGATACTTTCCTAAACTACCGAAAATGTACGATCTTAAAGGTATACAGTAATAGTGGCGATACCTTTTCCGTATACTTCCAAAAAGGACAGAAATAAACAAATGTTCGATTGTTTCTTTAAACCGTCGATCAAAATATTACCCTTTAAACTCTTTGGAACACACGATCAATTTATAACAAACTCATGTGATGATCTTGAGGACAGGAGGAGCATTAGTACACATAAAGTGCATTGCCATTAAATAGTGTCCTTTTGAGAGAAAGGCAAGGCGAGCACGATGTGCTCCTAAAATACCGGAAATGAGACCCAAATGGAGGCACTTCAGAAAGGGGACCGCCTTCTCGAGCTGTAAACATCTCCAACAATCTATCACTCTTCCACAGCCTACCAAACTTTCGTGTTCGGTAATTCGCTTCAGTCAGTGGCATCGAAAGTAGTACACCATACCTGACTACGCCTAAGTGAAATACAGTCAACGAGACTGCGATACCCGTCTGATATAGATCGGAAATGGAGATTATTATTTCCACCAACAAAGTAACCTGAGCTACAATATGAAAGTGAATGTTTACTTATAGGTGGTGGCCACCCTCAAAATTAGGTTCCCAGATCAGCTTGTTGGTTGTTCAAACCGAGAAATGTGACTCGCTAAAGTTGGCACGACCAAAAATTTTGGGCGACAAAAATAATTATTTAAAATATGTAGCATTTCTTGTCATAATGCAATAAAACAAGTTCATGAGTTATTTTGCTTATGTTTTATTTGCTGAGATGACTATCGCTACGGCCTATAGCACATAGACCTTTCCTAACAAGATACAGATTTAGGAATTTCGTTTCTGCACGTTTTGTATATGGAAGGCAAGAGAGAAACCTAGCTCTTGTCACATCCATTTCTGTCCCACATCTGATTTCCGAGCGTCAGTCTAGCGTGGGACTGTCAACTGCCACTAAGAAGGGGTTGTAATCATTTGGAGAAATAACATCAAGGGGAATGCAGGGTGTATTCGCCCTTCCTTCTGTTCCTTGTCTTTCTTCCTCCTCCCATCTTAAAATGCAAATATTCTAGAGATTAAGTCAAGTGAAAGATATGGAGCATGATGTCATGAGAACGAGACCTTCCTCCCATTGACTGATTGACTAGTTCTGTCTGTGTCAGCTTGTATTGTATCAAGACCTACCCCAAGTCCTAACGAACAACCGCATCTGCAATACACAACACAAACGCACACAGAACCCCAAAGTCAGCAGGTATAGGTGTTTGAGGTGGAAGTGTTGCCCTGAAAAAATGGGAAGAGTTGCGGGTGGACTGCTTGTTTGTTCGTTTCCTCAACGTTGAAAGATAGAAGCCACTTCCCAGAACAAGTTAGCTTATCGGTCGGTCGGTCAGTAAGGAAATAATTCAGAGTCAGTGCCTTTTCATGACTTGGAGAAGATGATGAACATGTTAATAGTTACGAAGCGTGAGGTCATTGGCTGTTAACGCCCTAGACAACCATTTGGTGGGAGTAAAAACGAGCTGTCTCGATTGACCCACGCTAAAGGCAGCTACATTTTCATGACCCACTAATCTCAAATTAGTTGTTCAGTCAACAGGAACTCGATTTAACTTGAATTTGATGCATCATCGAGGGGTTTATCATTAGAATCACATTTTTAGAATCATTTTCGAAGGACACTCGAGTCCACCATTTCAATCCTTCCAAAGGTAATGCGACGAATCGTACGAGACACCTCTGTAAGTTAGTAACGCAGAGGAGTAAAGCAGAGGAGTTCAAAAGCACATCCATCAGGGTCAAGAAATATCCAATGATGTGAGGTCCCAAAATGGGAGAAATTAGTAGCGCGAGAAACGAATAGCGCCACCTCCATCCGAATGGAGCATAACAAGGCTTTTAAAGCATATGAACAATTTACAAGTTGCAGCAGGTCATTGAGGAAAGTCATTTTGAAAATCGCACTGATTTTTTGATCGCCTGAGATCTGACAAACTTGTTTCAAACAACGCAACCCCATTCAATGAGCTCTTCAGGTCAGAGATACAGATCATGCAATAAATTCGTGACCTACGGACCTCCTGCCACAAATCATTAATGATGAATTACATTACTATTTGTGTATTTACGTTATGCGACAGGCATATTTTTTTGTTCAGTGATCAGTTTTGTGGAACAGTGCATTCTGTTTATGTCGGGAAAAGACGTCACAAGTGAAACCGTAGTTAAACACTTATACAGCCTGTAATATTACTTGGAGGTGAAGAAATAGATCTAAACAGCGACAGCGAGAGGAGTGAAGCCAACTCGCACAGAATTGACATTCTGATTGAATTTTTCGTGATCACATATTTGAGCAGGCACGGTAGACCTCACTAGAGGTCACACGAGTGCACCCGTGGTCAGCCTGGATTTACTGGGATACATGTCAGTCACTTTAAACAAACAAATGTATAAGTCCATCCTTTCAAAATGAACCCGAGATTTACTTCATGTATGTTCCAAATTGAAATCTTGCCGAAAGTTGAAGGTAAGGAGAAGAGGAGGAGACATAACTGCCTTCTCCGCACACTTTCCTATAAGAATAATTTACTTATCCACGAAGTGATAAGCCTGTTCGCATACATCATTAATGCACATTTTCGGCTTTCTTTAGCGCAAGGAATTGGAGCCTTCAAAGAAAAGACTAGGGAAAAACGCTATGCCTATTTTTAAATGGAGCCTATTTAGAACCATGGTGTTGAATCCACCTATGTCTGCTTGTACAGAGGGGGTTATGCTTAGTCCGACATGCTCAGTTGCTGGAGGACATTTAAGCGGTGTGAGAGTCTCAAACAACGACAGTTCTTTTGTTAGTCACAATCCTGTCCGTGAAAATTTTCAGTCTAAAACCTCGGCACCCATTTCTGAAAACATTCAGTGAGCCACGGTTTCGTCGTAAGGTTGGACAAGAGAGGAGTCCCCTCCATGGGAAGGGCAAAACAAGGTGGTCAGTTGGCAAGATTTGAAATTTCAAGAAGTTTTCCTGAACTTAGTACCGAGGCAGACATAGTGAAGCGGGTTGTTTTGAAGCGGCTCAATTCAGTGTGTAAGTATAGGTAAGGATAATATCGACAACGGAATTCGGTTTTTACACGTTTAGGCCTATTATCTTTTCATAGAAACCTAGAAGTTCTAGTTTAGCTTGACTGCTCAACGTTCATTTGAAGGAACTGTTCGTATCCATCGGGACGACTGCAAGAATAACGGTTGACATGGATCGTCTCTTCAGATATTACCGGCGTGATCCTTTCAACGTTTTCAACGTTACTTTGTAGCTTTCCAGGCCATTCTTGAAGACAAAAGAAGGCAGAACACTATGGTAGGATAGGTGTTGTCCATGTGTGGATGGCTGGAGGCTACTGGCATGAATTGAAGATATTTCTATCCAGTAGAAGTACAAAGGTGGTGCCTTAAGTGCCCGTGAAACCAAAACGAAGTAATACAACTTCTTGCGAAAATTCGTCATTATCGCGAGAAAGAAAAATAACTGTTCTAAAAATCCATCTCCCTAATTCAAACACATGTCAAATTTATAGAACAGAGAAGGAAATCACATTCCAATCACCTCCAATTCAATTGACCACATTTCACGGCATTCTTTTTGCTGGAAGACCAAGCACACTCTTGTGGGGATTATTTACTACAATGGATGTAGACGACCACACAGAACGTTCATTTATTTGATAAACGCAAAATGATTTAATGAAGCTACAAGTAACGGTTTGAGAAATACATTCACTTACCACCTATACCGTTTAACGTCCTCTGGTGTTCAAGAAAGGGATAGACGGAGCACTGAAGATCCCCCAGTGCCACAAAAACGCTAGCTCCGGCAGGCACACCCTCCCAATCGAAGGCAAGCTTTCCAACCTCCGTTCCGCAGGGCACAATTTCGGGTAGCAGGTGTGTCAGTGTGAAGCCCGAGGCGTTGAGGCTAAAAGTGAGGGAATAAATGGTGTGTTAAATGGGGAAAAGGACTTTTTTGAACAAATTGCACACAAAGGCATGTGACAGGGTGCATTGTGGTCTGTTGTTGACAGTCCGTGTTCCATGGCCATACCAGGTGTGTAGGTGGGAGTAAACACTCAATACCCTCAACGTTATGGATTGATGAAAGAAGGTTGCATGTGACAGCAAATTTATGATCTCCGTCGCTCCAAATAGAGGTCATGAGAGCAAGGCCCACTTCAGTCTATGACTTAATAAGCTTCAGAGTCCATAACAGACTAGCAAATCAGTTTGCTTGTTCCGACTCCCATTCCCTATTCTGACGAGGAATAGCAAAGATGGAGGACTTGTAACAGACTTCAATACGTGCTTCAGTGTTCGTTTCTTGTTGCAAAACCAAATTTCAACCTTCTAAATATCTCTACTTATAACCTTTAAAGAATGTGGACGTAGTCAACATTACCGACTCTACATTAAAATATCGAAAATGTCGGTTTTCCTTGAAGACCAATTCCACGATTCGGCATCACGGATAGTCCATTCTAAAGTCTAATGCCTTTGTCCAGGCCCCAAAGACGCATTTTGGTGGATACGTGCTTGCAGAGATGGAAGGTCTTAGAGTTACACATTTGATTTGTTAAAGCAAAAAATCCAAGAGACTTTTTTTCCCCAGTAAACCATACGTCTAATTCCAAAGCCTCTCAAAAACCGATCCTAAGGAATGTCATCAGTATTTCCGACCTCTCCACTTTATATCCGTCTATCAAAGTTTGTCACTGTTTGTAAGACTTCGGAGCATTAATTTATCGTCGCAGTTGTGTCCAGTGTGGGGATGGAATTATCTTGCTGCATCAACTACTAGTGGAGTGAGGCGTTCAAAGTGGTCGCATTGATGTGGGAAATTAAACCATGACAGGAAAGAAGGAGAAAATGAAATATGAAAAACTAAGTATGGCGTTTGCAGGAGAGCCAAATAGAGGTGGTTGACTTATCGGTACCACACCTCTTGACAGTCAAAACAGTCACAAAAGGAAAGATTTTTTGTCTTATTTTCACCGATCCCGGAAACGAAGGATGCTAAGATTGAGTAAACAAGGGAAAAAAGATGACACCAAGAAGGAAATCTTATGTAAAAAAGAATTATTCATAATTTTTCATTCTAGGTCTTGTAACTTGCAAGGCCTCAGAGCTCATGACAGTTTGGAATTTCGACTCGCATGTCCCTTCTTTCTTTTTCATCTTCAGACACCGAATTTTCTATTGCAACCATCTTTAAAATGATACTTTAGAGTACCGTCTTACAAAAAACTTTAGTGGTAAATAGCTTTGCTACGTGGACGCTGTGAAGGCATCAAGGGTCGGCAAAAGTGTGATGGAATGCGAGAAACACGGTGATGTGGTTGCTAGTATGGAAAGTTCCATTCAGGCGCGTTTAATCTGATAAAAAAGCAGCACGAGAAATGACCTGTCAAATGTGCATGTAGTTTTTGAAATGTGTGAAACTCCACCCCGAAACGGTTGGTTAAACAAAGGGTGAGTAGTGTCGAGGCTTCACTTTGGCAGGATACGATTAAGGGCAAGGAGAGGATGAATGCATAGTACAATAGATTATACCAACTGGTAAGGAAATTTTTGATCAAGCACGGCATGTCTCCGAGGTAAAGTAACCACCATGGTCCAGGTATTTTGATGTCATAACCGGACGCCCACTGCCATTAATCATGTTCTTTCCCCTCCAATCTGAGTCACCCCATTTTCATTACATGTGTCATGTTTTTGACATGGTGGGTCAAGAAAAAATAGGGAAGTCACATGTTAATGTGTTAAACACGCGAGGTGTTTCCGCCTTGGTAGTTCATAAAATCTTCACTAACAAGCTTTCAGCAATTCTGTGTACTGAGAATAAACAGATTTGCAGACTTGTTTGCCTTATTGCATTTTTAAGAGTGACTCCAGGACAGAGGGCAAGCTGCCTATATTCATCCATGGCGTATCCATCCATCCATCCATCCATCCATCCATCCATCCATCCATCCATCCATCCATCCATCCATCCATCCATCCATCCATCCATCATCATCATCATCATCATCATCATCATCATCAT